TTTTATAAAGAGGAGAGGAAAGCACACTGTATTTACAGTGTAGTGGTCTCCATCTTAACTATATGCCACATCACCACAGAGAGACTCCCAACCTTACATAACCCTCAACAAGATACAATGAGAAATATATACTGCTATTAGAAAGTGCCAAAATGTCTTGTGTCCTGATTTAATCATACAGTCAAGTTTAACATTAGAAGAAATATGAAATTAATTGTGTATTGGGCAATTACTTTTTTTTTAGCTGGCCAGATTTGGTGGTGCACACCTTTAAGTCCTTACTCAGGAGGCAGAGACAGGCAGATCTCTGAATTCAAGGCCAGACTGCTCTATCTAGTGAGTTCCAGGCCAGTCATAACTACACAGTGAGACCCCGTCTCAAAAAATTCAAAAAATATTGCTTTATTGAAAGAGAGAGAGAGAATATGAATATGCATCCCAGCACTAGAGTGGAGGTCAAGAGACCTCCATCACAGGCATCCTTTCTCTCTTTCCACTCCCAAGGACTAAACTCAAGTCTTCAGGCTTGGGGGCAAGTGCTTTTTCCTGTTCGTCCATCTTGATGACCCACACTGGGCTACTTTTCTGTAATATTTTTATTGAATTTTTGTCTATTCCATACAGCACATCTTAGTTGATCTTAATCATCCTTACACCCTCTTCCCCATGGCAACCTCCCACACCCCCACAATGGAATTCATACATTCTGTCATTTGTGTTAAGGCCTATCATGTCAAGTTAGTGTCTCCTGACATTCCTCAGTGCAAGCTCATTCATTGGGATCTAGGCAGCCTATCTAGAGTCTTTCCCTTTAAGAAGATCAGGTCTTCCTCACCCAGCAGTAATCAGCTGCCAATAATTCTTCCACTAAGATTGGCGCTTGTTGCCCACAGATCTGTACTGGGGTTTTGTCTACTTGAGTTTGCATAGGTCTTGCACATGCTGACACCACTGCTGTAGGTTTATGAGAACAAGGTCCCAGGAGCCTGTAGGACTCTCTTTCCATACGGCCATGCACCTCCTCCCTGGCTCTTACAATCTTTCCACTCCCTCTTATGAACTGGTCCCTGAGCCCTTGGGTGGAGTTTAACATAGGAGTCCTGTGGAGTCCACAATGACCACACTCTGCAGACTCTTTACGCTTTGGTCATTTGTGATCTTTTGTGTCCATTGTCCTCTGTTTCATGAGGGAGTTTCATTAATGTGATTTGAGAGATGCATTAGTTTCTTCTTTACCCCTTAGTCTATGTTCCGTTGCTCCGTGAGACTCAGGTGTAGGTATAGTGGTTGCATTGTAGCACATTGGGCTATTTAAAAATTATGTTACCTTTCTTAGATGTTATATGATATTGTGGATGTTTATGAGGATTTTTTTAAGTTATGTACATTGAAGAGTTAAGGGGTTAAATATCAAGATTTCTACGCTGATTTTCAAATGATTAAGAACATGTATTTAGGGGCTGGTCATATTGCTCAGTGGTTAGGAGCACAGACTGTTCTTGCAGGGGACCAGGGTTCAGTTCCCAGCACCTGCATAGTGGCTAACAAGCATTAGTGACTCCAGTTCCAGGGGATCTGACTCTACCTTCTGACCTCCGAGGGCATTGCACAACACAGGTACACTTACACATGCAGGCAATATACTCATACACATAAAATTTAAAAAGTAACAAAATATTCAAAAAAGAATATGTATCTATATATGATATTTTCATGTCATGATATCTGTTATATATTTGGAAAAATAAATATAATGAAGTGATAACAAAAGTTGAATCTGGGTAAATGATTTACAGGTCTCTTTTATGCTAATTTTTAATTTTTTTCTGTATCTTTGAATCATTCAATAAAATTTGTGGCAAAAAAAATACAAGAGTCGATTGCATATAACAAGGCTACCAGTGTCTAGAGCATTATAGGTACTCAGTAATTGGGAGCTTAAATCAGACCACCTCTAGGGCCTTGGCTGTGGTTCAGTTAAAGACAGAGAAAGACCATGGAATGAGGGAGTGATTTTGACTGAGATATTTGTAGAAAAGAGAAAAATAAGAATCTATTTAGTCTGTTATCAACAGCCATTTATTTACCCAGTGAAGCTGTGTGGCTCAGGGGTCATGAGCTTCCCTCTCTAGGAGGCGATTCCTTTGTAGGCCTTCAGAGGAACTGAGATCCTTCAAACCTTCTAGAAGTCCATTTATGGAGCAGGAATGAGAGCAATGCAAAGTCAGTGCGCTCAGTCTGAGAGGCAGCTCTCTGACTCCCTAATGAGAATTTCAATTAACTGTATGCACCACACTCCATCCTTAGCTTAACCTCAAGGTGAATGAGTTTCCCAGCAAAGGAGCCAATGCTTTCTAGCTCTAAGAAGAATGGAGCCTGGTCATGGTCTCCAGGGACTGTGCACAGCAGGTATGTTGACTCACGCCTCAGTCCCAGCTATTGAAGCAGCTCTGGCTGCCAGGGTAGCCTCAGCCAGGAACGTGAGAACTTCCAGGGGCAGCTTACGGAGACAGTGCATCAACAAAGAGAAAAACTTCCCAAAGGGCATTCACACCCTGCTGAAATCTTCCAGAGTTTCCAGTTCTTCTAGGGACTCAGAAGAGCTACAGAACCATATCTTTAATATGCTAATGTCCACATGTCTCTTGGAGCAGGAATTGATGTTTTATTAATGATGTTTACTATAAATTTAATTTTAAAGCACTGCTCTTCCTACACTGTTTTGATAAAGACTTTGTGGTTTATTTTCTTCTTAGTGGTAAAAATGGGAAAGGGAGAGGATTAGACATATCTTAAATCTAGGACTTGAGACTTGCTGACACATATGGCGGTCATTCTCACAGTGCAATCCAAAGCGGGGGGGGGTGCTTAGAATGGCCCACTTTGTGCTGCTCCTTGACCAGACCCAGTGGTGACTCTCAACAGATGCTCCTCTTTGTCAATACTAGGGGATCCCCTGGGAACAGTATCCACTAAACCACTCTCTGCCCCCTACCCTGCTTTTTCAATCAGGACCCTTGCAGACTGCCTCTCCTTGAAAGTCTACAGGGTACCTTCTACAGTGGCACGAACTTGGAGAGGTGTCCCTTAACATCTGAGTGACTTCTAAGTTGTGTGTACCAGAGACTCCCTTCTCAGGATCTTGGGTTTTTTTTTTTCTTCTTTCTTTGTTTAGAACAAATGTAGTAACCATGTTTGTTGAAAACTTACTTCTGGATATTGTCCAATTTCATTATCTCCCTTTTCTTTAATATTCACAATAAACTACAAGGTAGATATCAACACTAATTCCATTTCAGAGGTAAGAAAACCAAAGTACCTAAGAGGTTAATGAGTGTGCCCCAGATATATTGGCCTGGAGAGTCTACCTTCTCAAATAGTATAATTCTACCTGTTGGAAGAAGGGCTGTATATAACCAGTAGAACCGGATCAACAGGGAATGCTGTAGCTCCAACTCTTGGCTTGGAACACCTGTGATAAACAACTCTCCCTGGAGAGCTAGCCTGCAGGCCCAGTTTGCTGTGAGTCTTGGCTGGACTTAGCCAGAAGTTGCATCTTGACTCCCTCCAGTCTCCTGTCTTGCTTCTTTAACTCTACCCAGTCTCTTCTGGGAAACTTCCTTAATCACTTGCACACAAATTTACATCTCAGAGTCAGATTCTGGAGAACTACAGGAGACACCCATAAGGCCAGAGGCAGCCTAGCTGAGGAGGAAAGTGAAATACACACAAAGAGATGTGTTTCTTAGGTAAGTCTTATAAATGGCAAGTTCTATGCCAGCAGTAAGATAGCTACCGTGTGGATTTACATGTAGACTATAGTGGAAACCTGGGGAGAAACATCCAGGAAATTGGAGGCAGTCTAAAAAAGCTTCTGGGGGAAGTAACATTTGAGCAAAGTCTTGAAGGATCAAGAGATTTCTGTCATGCAAACATGGAGGGGGAGAGCAGTCTGAGCAGAAAAGACAGCATGAGTAAGTACAGAGAGATAAAGTTATTTTTTCTGGGTTCACAAGAGGCTCACATTTCAGGAGCAACAAGTACAAAGGCATGCCAGAAGATACATTGCAGGAAACAGACTCCTTAGACCTCTGTAGGGTGCGGGGAGGTAGGAGAAACGGGGACCCCTGTGCTGATTTTCCAGACTCTGTCTTGAGCTCCCAGGAGAAGATAACTGAAATGGGGAACACAGGAAGGTAAGGTGGTCTAGAAGAGAAGATCGCTCATTTTTCAATACATTGTATTTGAGATACCTGCGGGACATCCAAGGGACTAATGGTTTCTGATTGCATGTTAAGCTTTAAGCTATTTTACTTTTAATTTGTAGAGAATCAAGTTGTCTGACTTCCAATCTCAGCATGTTTAAACGATGCTTCTTTCAGGAGGCATCTGTGGAGTAAAGCCTTGACTGGAGAAGCTGATAGGAAATGAGGCAAGGATGGGGGCCACAAAAGAGTCCACAGGAGCACATATCTACAGCAGTTATCATTGCCTGTGGTAACACCATCCCTTGGGTGTTGCACAATGCATAGCCTGCATGGTCCTTTAGTGGGGATGTAGAAAAATTAAAGATGGAAGAAAGTGGCCAGGAAGAAGGCTCTTAGTAAAGTGCTCACCACTCAAGCATGAAGACCTGAGTTCAGATCCCTAGCATCCACATAAAAAATGGGGAGGGGCAGCACATGCCTGTATCTTCATTTCTGGGGCAACGGAGACAGGAAAATCTCTGGGGCTTGCTGGACAGCCAGTCTGGCCATATCAGTGAGCCCAGTGAGAGAGTCTGTCCCCCAAAATCAAGCGGAAAAGTAAATGAAAATATCATACATCAACCTTTGGCTTCCATATGCATACATCTATATGTGCATGCACCCCCCACACACACACATCTGCACACACACAAACATACACAAAATGGAGAAAAAATAAAATCCTCATCACTGACTGGCACGGCCCATGAACAAGCTTCACCATCCCCCAGTAAAGTGGCCTCTCTCACTCACCATCTTCCTCTGTCTGCACTACCAGCTCCTCACTCTCCATCCGGCCCTCAGGGTTGGACAGCAACAGCCGCAGCCTGATGGTCATGAAGGGCCGAAGGCCCCGCAGGGTGTAGTGGGAAGAGGTCTGGATCACCTCCTCGGCTTCATACTGCTGCTGGTTGAAGACGTACTGGTATTGCACGGTGAGATTATAGCTGTGGCATCGGGTCACTGCATAGCCAAAGGGCTCCCACTGCAGGGTCAGCTGCCGGGCTCGAATGTCCACAATTTCCACATTCTGTGGGCCATGCACAGGGTCTGAAAGACACATGCACAACACAAGAACTCTGAGAAGACTGTCAGGAGGCAAGTGGATGTTGTTGCTCTGCCGACTGTACCTCATCCTCTCCCTATGCCTATGTGACTTTTGTCACGTGCAACACAGTTTAGACACAAGAACTCTGAGAAGACTGTCAGGAGGCAAGTGGATGTTGTTGCTCTTCCGACTGTAACTCATCCTCTCCCTATGCCTATGTGACTTTTGTCACGTGCAACACAGTTTATATGACATTTTTTATAAATCAATTTCTTTATTCTTATTTAAGTACAAATATCTAGCATCAATGCATGGAGTAAAAATTTGTCATACATCTTTTTCCATGAAACAAATCAACTGTAAAAACTGTTCAGTTCTTAAGGCTTCATCAACGTACCACTGTGAACCATCTGAGGTGCTATCAACTGTACATAAAGGATGCACTGACTTAGATGGCTGGTAGAGTTTTAGTCTGCCTCTTTATTTAATTTAGTTACATCCTTTTCTGTGAAAAACATTCAGATGCACAAGCTGGAATTTTGGTGATGTCATTGGCATTCAACAGCCAGTCTATCCACATGGTCAGTATGCCTCATGAACTTGGCCTTTGAATTTGTCCCTCTTTCACGCATAGCATAATGTATAATTTCCTAATATCTTACACAAAAGTTCACCTTTCTTCTCCATTGTTGCCACAGACATCATCCTACCTGTCTTCAGTACCCAGACTGGCCCCCCCATTCCCTCTTACCCACTATTTTTGGTCCCAGACCTCCATATATAACATAGATCATGTCTTATTTTATAATCTCCACATAATGTATTAAAAGTTCACCTTTCTTCCCCATTGTTGCCACAGACATCATCCTACCTGTCTTCAGTACCCAGACTGCCCCCCCCCATTCCCTCTTACCCACTATTTTTGGTCCCAGATCTCCATATATAACATAGATCATGTCTTATTTTATAATCTCCACATAATGTATTTATGTCTTACATCTTACATGAGGATGATTTTGTGCAAAACTGATTATAATACCAAGTATAGTTCAGCATAGAGGTTAAATCGCCATTCATCCCTATGCTAATGGGACTTTATCAAGTTATATAATGTCTTTGAATCTACTTTCTACTTTT